CTCCTCGATTTCAAAATTCGACAAAGCCATTCATTCCGTAACTTGCGCGACCAATCCCAGTCCCCAGCGGACCGAAGGTGAAATGTACTTGCAAATTGTAGTAATTAAACATAAAATTTACCTTCATATTTAAGATTAATTTCCTTTTTGAGCAGATAATATAATTAAAATAAAATCAAACAAAATACAAAACAGACAACACGTGAACCGCTTAAACAACATTCCCCAAAGTCCTAAATTCTAACACCCTTTCTTCAATTTTCTTCTTCTTCTTCACTCTTCCCTCGGATTCCATATTTCCCAATCCAAGAAAGACTTCTCTCTCTCTCTCTCTCTCTCTCTCTCTTTTTTTTTTTTAAATCTATTTTCATTCTTAAAAAAAGAGAAATTAAATATGAAATAAAAACAGGGAATGTAGTTTTTTCCCTGGAACATTAGCAAGCAAAAATAAAAAATAATACTAGTACCATTTTACATGCATCCGCGCGGAGTAAACCCGACTCTTGAACCCGCCAAATCGTAAATGACCCGGAATCCTTGTTGCTGGATGTTCCCAATAATCGACAACCCACTTATGGTACCCGCAAAGGCAAAGCAAAATGTCCCGCTGTCGTCCACAGGGATTAAGTAGTTCGTCGCCGGCAACGACACGTCTGCTCCTCGGAAATGCAGCACCACCGTTGGGACCTTAACTTCTGTCTTGCCCGACAGATCGAAGCATGTGTCGAATAAGGAGAAGTCGGGAGCTCGCCTCAGACTCGATGCACCAGTCCGGAACGCATCCCTCATGGCGATATATGCGGGTCGGGTAAGTCGGGTTACCGATGTGCCCGAATCAACAATGACTCCTCCGTTTCCGGCCGGATCCAATTTGAACAAAGAGGGAATGATTCCCGGAACGCGGGTGCCACCGACGCTGATTCCCAGAAGTTCGACGTAGTAGAAAGTGTCGAGCTTAGGGTTTGTTAGTAACGGAGTGAATCGGGCAGCTCGGGAGACGGCAGAGTCACCGAAAACCATGGAGGATGGTTTCGAGGAAGATGACCTGTCAACCAAACAGTAAGAGAACTTCCGGTTAAACCGGCGACCGGTTTGTGTAGGAAACGACAATCTCCCCCGACCAAGTCCCAGTAAACCCGCTGCACCCACGAACAGACCTTCATTGTCGTGGCCGCACCCGATCGCAACGCTTGCTACTTTGCTCTTGCGAAACGTCAGCGTTTCGGTGGAGAAGTCACCGGTGGTGAACGAACCGTCACCGTATGACACCTGGTACATACACGTCCGCTTTCGGTTGCACCTCGACGAATCGAGGCGGCGGCAGAGAGGAGACCCGCAGGGAACGACGGAGTAAGACTGAGATTTGGAAGGGTCGAAAACCGGGTCAGTCTGGGAGTAGCACTTCGCACAAGGAGCACACTGTACCCAAACGACATCGCTGCCGGTATCCAAAACCATATACAGGTACCTCGGAGGAGTACCGACTCCCAGGCGCGTGAAGTACTCGCCACTGCCTTGGGCGAGTCCGGAAATGACGGAGCTACTGAATCCACCACCAACACCGCGCGTGCGGTTACGGGTGACGGCCGCCGCCGCAAGTGAGAACAGAGTCTGTACGCGTTGAACATCGCGCTGGAGCCGGAGGTCGAAAAGCTGCTCGGGAGTCGCATCGGACGATAACGCATCCAGGTGGTGTAACTGTAAGTGCACAGGAAGAGTATTGTTGGTGGTAAGATCCGTCTCCAACTCGGCATCATTGAATTCAGCGGCGGTGTCCGTGTCCTGCCATGAGAGAGCAGAAGGGGTGGGGAGGCGGCCAGGGGTCAAGGTTTGGTAGCGGAGAGGGGCGGAGAAAGTGGCGGAGATGGACAAGAGGAGGGAGAGGGAAAAGAGAAGCGCATTTCTCGATTTGGCGTCCATCGATGAAAGCGGGCGTAGGACAGTGAGTGTGCAGAGGTGAGAAAAAGAGTTTAAATAAAGTAATTGAGTGAGTGGAAAACAGGATGCGACCCTTTTTATTTATTTATTTATTTTAATTTTCTAACATATGCCCTTATTACATATTAAATGTTATTAAATATAATATTTTTAATAAATTTATATATTAAATTTAATTAAAATATAATATAAAATTAAAATATAATATAATATCTATACTTAAAATTTATTTTTTTAAATCAACTTATAAAAAAATTTATATAAAATTAATTATAAATACTTAGTTAACCAGTCTTAACTTATATTTTGAACTTAAGATATAAAATAAATAATTTTTTTAATAAAATAATTAAATTACAACTATATTTTTTAAAAAATAATAAAATAATATAAAGATACAATACACTATAATTTTAAAATCAATTAGTTTAAAATGATATGAAATCTCATGTACATTACTTAATTTACACACATGATATAAGATAAACACATCATAATTAAAATGATATAAAAATAAAACATATTACATAACCCTAAAATCAATTAATTTAAAATTATATTGAATCTTGTATATATCACTTAATTTATACATGTAAAGATTAAGTATGAAAAACACATCCACAATTAAAATTATAACTATAGATATTTTTAACAATTAACAATTTAAGAGATTCAGAAAATAGGGGGTTTTTTTCAAATTATTGGTGGAGTTCAAAACTCAAACCAATTAACCCAAATATCTTAAGATTTGAGGTAAACTATTTTACTCAAAAATCCAATTCAAATAACAACTATATTTAAAAAATGAGAAATTAATATTCCTAACCGAGCTTAAAGTCAAGATATAATTGTCACAGAGATGAGCCTTTAGTATCATGCCACGACCGTCGATGGCAAACACGTGCTTTTTTTTATATATTGTTTTAGACTTGAGTGGAGTTATCACGTTTAATAGTAATTTTCCATTTGTTTTAAATAAAAATTATTAGTTATGTTAGTAATTTGGTAAAGTTCCATCAATTAATGATTTGGTCCAACTTAATCAACGGCCCAACCAAGTGGTTGTTAAGGAATTAAATGTTTTTACCATTTCTTAGTACCAACTTAAATCATTCTCAAAGTGGTTACTTGACTTACTCATCACTTCGCTTTCTAAACGATATTTCTGTAATTAATGTAATTGGGTTGGTGTTTAAATGCTGCAATTCTAGTTTTCTCTGAAAGGAAAACGTGATATTTACCAAAAAAAAAAATTTAAAATTCAAATTATACTGTATTACCAAACTTTAGTTAAAATAAAATTTTGAAAATGTCAATAATTTAAATAATTTAGTAGTCATATTCTTTAATTGAAAATAAGATATTTTGAGTTTGAGTCGGATGATACGCAGATGAAGGGGATAAAAGATGAAAAATAATTACCTTTTATTGTATAATCAAGATAAAAAATAAAAAATAACTTCTTGAAATTGAGGAAAATTTATTCATCCAATAAATTTAAGGATTTTTTTAAGTTAAAATTTTAAAATAAAACTTAATAATATAATTAATATATTTTTAATTATTAATTAATATTAAAATATATATTAATTTTAATATCAATATCACATAAATTCATTAAAATTAAACCATTTGTCTTAAGATAATTTGATCTAGAATGATTATTTTCTCAATATCTTTTTCAAAAAAAAAAATAGAATTAAGATTAAAGCATTAATATTTTTCTTTGGGGAATTTTGTAAGGCATAGGTTAAGTTTTACTAAATATAAAATTTTTAATTAATTTTGTATAA